ACCAGGAGCTGGGAGCTTCTCCGGGATGCATGGAGAAAAATGCACCAGGTTGTGCCCTGTCCCCGCTGGGACAGGGGGAACGGAAAAGCCTTTGCTGCCTGTCTGGACGGATGGTGCCGATGGGAGCTCCCTCTCCCAGGCCTCGGGATACGGGAGCGGGCGCTTGCCCGTCTCCTCGCACACGGCGCCTGCAGCGCTTCCCATGTCGGAAAAGCGGGAGGGAGGCAGGAGGGACGCGGGGCTCCGGCGTCCGGCACTTCCCGTCGGCTGTGCTCTCCCGTCGGAGCGCGCTGGGGTCTCTGCCGCGCGCTCGGCGCTTCCTCGCAACAACACTTAACTAGGAATATATCCCCGTTTTTCCACGCTCACTAATGCTTTTTGCAGAACTTCTCATTCTTTATGGAGAAGGAAGCAGTGGGAGGACGTTTCCCTCTTTGACTAATGCCCAGCAGGGGAAAAAAAAATACCTTTTATGGCCAAGAACCCTGGCAGATTCCACTTTCTGGCACAGTTTTCCAGGTGACCGTCGGCACGGAGCCAAACAAGAAGCTGTTCCGCCCCGGCACCAGGACGGGGGCGCGGAGAGGTGCCCGGGGCCCCCTGTCCAGCTCCCCCCGAAACACACAGGACTTCACGCCAGGCAACATGGAAAAAGCCCCCAAATTCTCCTCCTGACCAACCCTGCACTGCAACACTTGCTCCTGCCCTTGTTTTTCCTTAGGATGCTCGTTGGGAAATGACTTTTCCCACTCTGCCTCCAGTCGGAGCAGCTCGGCCCTGCTGGCGCACAGCGCCACGTCCTCATCTAATCAATGAGAATCACATTAATTACGAGTTCATGAGCCCTGCGAGGCGCCCGGGGCAGGCGGCGGGGATGGAGCGGGGATTTCTCCGTGCGCTGGGGATGCCGGCAGGGATTTTATGGCTTTTTTGGCTTTTGGCAGGCTGCGGGGAGGGGCATGGTGCCAAGGCGGGGACGGGGCCTCAGCCAGGCCCGGCTCCGCTCGGCTCCGTGCGGGAGCACCGAAGGCAGCGGCGCTTCCCTCCCGAGGGTTTCTCCATCCTCTCCCCTTGTCCGGGAAGCGGGAGGGATGGACTGGAGGGCAGGAATGTTTTTACGGTGGCTGCGGCCAGCTGGGAGGCCCAAGCAGCTACTCCTAAAGCACAGGAATTTTAGCTGCATCCCTCTGGGGAAGGAGGATTTGGGAAGGAAAGCGGAGGGAGCGTTTAGGCTTTCCTAGGCATCGTGTTCCCCGCTGGGAGAGGAATGGCTTTCCCAAAGGAAAGGGAAGGCTCGGAGCTCGCTGGCGCTGCCCCTGTGCAGCTATTCCATGAGCGGGAGCCCGGAGCGAGGCCTCTCAATCCCCGCTCAGGCTCCCAAAGGAGCGAATCCGCGCGGGGAGCCGGCAGCTCCCTCCCACGCCAGCGCAAGCTGCCAGATTCCCAGCCATTTCGGGGGAAAAACAGTCCCAAAGAGGCCACAGGGAGCACCTAAGTCGAGGTTCCAGTGCACAACCCTGAGCCGCTCAGCTGCTCCACAGGGTTTTCCCAGGATTTTTCCCCTCGCGGGGTCCCTGCCGCTCTGTCCCCATCCCCACGGAGCCGATCGCAGCGGAAGCGGGACGAGCCATGGCGGCTCATTAAGCTGCCTCGCTAATTGCTTTAAAGCCCAACGCAACCGAGAGCCTTCCGCAAACACCAGGGTTTCCTCGCTGGGAGCGCGGGTGCTGGATCCCCGGGATGCTGCTCCCGCTGGCGGCTCCCGGAGTGCGAAGCCGGCCCGAGGCCGCGGCGGGAAGCGACCGCTGCCGTTTGGATGGCCTCAAGGAAGAGCAGAACTCGCCCTCCCCCACCAAGGATGACCTGCCCGAGCCCCGAGCGCGGCGAGAGCGGCTGAAAAGCGGGATTCGGGATTTCGCTCTGTTCCCGAGAGCAGCCGGCCACTCGTGCCTGTTTCCCAAGGGAAGAAGTAGCCTGGTTTTTGTCTGGAGACAGACACGTTTTGGCCTGGGCGCGGAACCCACCCAGGTCCCTCCAGGCCAGAACGGGCTGTTGCGATGCCCTCGGTGCGGGAGAACAGAGGAAAAGCCTGGGAGCAGAAAACAAGCCAGGGAAAACACGTCCTTCGGAGACCCCTGTCCCCATCCCGAGGGTGATGGCTGGGGGCTCAGGTGCATTCCTGGGGCGCAGGGATTTGTCCCCAGGAGCTGCAGCCCGTCCCAACCAGGGGGACAAGCTGGGATGCAGGAGCCGTGATTGTCACTTGGTGCTTCCCGCCCGGGCGTGCGGGGGGCGG